AATATTAATATGTATTTACGCTTTACTCTCAAGTCAGGTATGTCTTCACTAAACCAAATTTATTAAATATTACCTCACTGAAGGACAAATATAAAATAAGAGGAAATTATTATGCATGGAATTAGCATGAATTCATTGTTAGAGATAGGTTTATTATCATTACGAAAATATATAATTCAAAGGTCAGCTTTTATTTATTATTTTATTAATTATTAACTAACTATTATGAATTTTTCCAACTACTTTTTTAAGTCAAGGAAATTATAATGTTATTTATACATGTTAAAGATTCAATTATCTAGCTCTCCGATTTCTTAAATGTAAATTAAAGATAAACAACCTTTCTTTTGAGAATAATTACAAGTTCTTTTTTTTAAAGTGAATGAATGATTTGAATTCAGAATTAAAGAAATATTACAATTTAGAATGTTAGGAATAATCTTTCTTGATAATTTGTGCAAGTTAATTACTTTATGGAAATTATATGACCAATAAATAAAGCTTTCGTCATGTTTTTCTTGTTCCCTTTTTCATTAAAGATTATTAACGAAAGGATCTGCACAGAATTTAGCCAATCAGAATTTCTTTTCATAACGTCGATCATTACAGGGTATTATCCCTGATTGAATTTAGCCAATCAGAATTTCTTCTAGAATTTTTCATAAGAGTCGATCATTACAGTATTTAGTATTTCCAAATTCGGTAAAAACCCTGACTGTATTATACAGATGATGGAGTTTGTTTTGGAAAGGTATGTAATTAATCACATTTAGATTTTTAAATAACCATTTGTATTAAAAACTAAATAAAGCTTGTTGATTCTTAGATTCTTTTGATTTTAAACATTTCATCTGAATTTAATAGTTTGAATGAAAATGTTGCTTTGGTTAATTGGTATCATTTTTTATTTCCAAATAATCCAAACAAATTTTATAAATATGATTGTCCACATTTAAAACTTCTTACTGAATATAATATTATCCCTTTGGAATCTATTATTGAAGAAGTTCAAATAATCAAAAGATTTGATTGTAAAAATGAATTTATTGTAAATAGGTTTTTATTTCATTAGAATAATTATATAAAAAATACACTTTTGCAAAAATATACATAATAAATTATATAGAAAATAAATCTATATAAGTAGCAAGACATACAAATTTTATTACATAATTATAACAAATACAGAGAAATATCCCTATAAAAAATTCATATATGTAAAATAACACATAATTTTTACACAAAAAAAATTTGCTTGGCAAAAATAAGGAGAATATCAACAGTATATTAAAAAAAAAACGCACCTAAATCCAAGGAGATTCGTCCCAATAAATCTTCCATTCCCGGAATGGTCTTTGAGACAATTAATGTGGCAACTTCTAACAAAAAATAGAAATTAACATCATATTTATATGATAGACAATATATTTGACTTATTAATTTCGTTGAAACAAGGGTCCATTTATATGAATTAATAAAAACCATGAAATATTCTTCATATATACCACTTACGATGTCTTCAATTCTTCCATCAATGTCACCATTTTCCTCGCCATCACAACCATTACAATTTAACATTACAATAAATGTCCATCATCATCATTGACCTTCTTCAATAACATTAATATAAAAGTAGTGAATATAGATGAGAAAGATAATGATAGTATGTGAATGAAGATAAGGAACAGATTGTTGTGGTAGTGGATTTAGATATGAAGATGTGAATGATATTTTTATAATGAATTAATTATTAAAATAAATTGATTAGTACCAAAAATAACAATAATTGTAAATCTGGCATTCATTGTTGTTAATCTGGTATGCATTATTAAATAAACGTGGCATTCATTATTATTTAAATAAACGTGGCATTCATTTTGATTAGTAGCTTCAATTGGTTTTTTTGTTTACGATGAAAAAACAAGATTACCCTGAAGTATATCAGAGTGAAAAAACCAAAAAACAATTCGACGTTAATAAGGTAGAGAGAGAATCAAAAAAAAAAAATTTATTTCTTTCTATAAAAAAATTTTAGTTGTTTTAATTCTTAATTTTTTTCAATTAACAGAAAAATAGTTATAATATTAATAATTAATATGGTTTAAAGCGATTTTTACCATTATTGTTGTTATAACCATTCTTATTACCGTATCCATTCCTATTATTACCATACCCATTCCTATTATTGTTATAACCATTTCTACCCGCGCCGCCATTATTATTCCTACCATAACCACCTCCATTATTAGTTTCCAACAATTCTGGCAAGTTTTCAGCAATCTCCAACATAGTATTATCATTATTATACCATTTCCTACCAGCGATAACCAAATTAAAACAGATTATAGAAGAAATTGTTAATTTTAGGATCGAAAATAAAAACTAAAACAAATCATAAAGCAAAATCGAACCACTAATGATCCCTCACAGTCTTCAGCTTCTCTGATACCATCAGTAACACCACAAACACCCATCTACCACCTATCAAGGTTTACTCTGACGAAGATAATAGCACAGACTCTGTGTATCTTGAGCAAAATTCCGACATATGTCAAAAATCAAAGATTCACCATCTTAACACAGGATCTAAATCGTTATAAGAGAAAAAGACTGATGTATTCCTGGATTCAAAATTCAAAGAAGATATATCCTCTATTTATCAGGCACAAAGTGTTATGTCTTCCGAAATAGCGGAGCTAGCAAGCTAAAAATTTACTACAATCAAAATTAGAACAAGGTTTAATACATGAGTTATCTGTATTTATTAACGAGAAAAGTCCTATATCTGATAAACAAATTCCTGAAAATATGCTAGACGGAGGTGATCTAACCCCAGGTTCTGCATCATATTTAGCTTATTTATTTGACAGGGCTAAAAAACCCGGTCAGAAAGAAATTTTACATTAGCATTGTTATGGTGAAGAATTTTAAAAAAAGACAGTTAATAATGAGAATCTGAAACAGTATACTCATAATATGGAGATTATTAACGAGACCAAGCGATTAAAGATATCCTTACATCTCGGGATGGTCGTAATCAGGAATCTCTTATTGAGTATTGCAACAATTTACAGATAAAATGATATCGTTGGGATCGACCCAAGAACTTGTCTCGGCTACATTGACTCATGAAAAAACATACCTGTTTCCCGCCTTCTCACGCCTACGCTCAAACCCAGAGATAATTTAACCAAAACATATAATACAGAAACTGTTACCAATAATCTGACCACGAACTATGGAGTGGGACAGAATATTCCTACTGTTAGTAAACCTGTAAAAGATCTTTGTAAAGTTTCACGCAAAAGAAATATGGACCAGACAAAAAAAAATTGATACACCTTAATCCAGTGATACCATAAATAAGGCTAATGATGAGACAAAGCCTCAAATTTCTGATTCTTCAAGATCAACTAATATGAAGTCTTCTATCAGTGAAGATAGTCATGCTGATATCTCACAAATTATAGAGACTAAAGATTCTTTGGAAGAAGCCACCTCTAAAACCAATTTCATTGAAAACGATCAAATTCATGCGACTAAAACAGAAATGGTCGGAATATTACCTGTTGGGGCGATTTTTATGTATCCAGTCCTTGCTTTTTTGATAAATGTAGTGATATGGCTTGTGGTGGTGAAGCCTATAAGAGATGTAAGAAAAAAAATAATATTACTTTGACATGTTTTTATATAATAAAATTTTTAGCAGGGCTAGTTAAAGTAACTACGTACCAAATCTACCCAATTCTATTATAAAAACAATGCATAAACATAACCGCTCACACTTCTGGATGCAATTGTAGAAACCATTCAAAAACTTCCATTAATGTTAGAGGATCTTTACGAATTAACCATACTTGGTATATGGAAGGGAAACATGAATTGCAAAATTAATATTGGAGGATAATATGAAAAGTGATTCGAAATTTTCAATGAGCAAGTGGAAGTAGAAAGATGTATGCTACTGTATAAATTAATCAGAAGGAGATACAATATATCGTATTAATCTTGTGAAGAAAGGAATGTATAAAGGGGGATTTTGCATCACGAAATTTTAGCCTGGGTCTGAGATTACTTACATTGGTGTCTGAAATCGTATCATTTGAGAGACAGACCATCACTAAAATTTCAGGAAAGTGAGGCAAGTGTTTCTTTAGTAGTAACCAAAGTATTTTTTTGGTAGTATTTGGCATCAAGAGATGGTATTAGCCAAAGGTAAGATCCGATTTTTTGGTAGTTTAATGGTAGTATCCTAAAGCAACAACTATGTGAGAAAGTGTTCCAGAGTCGCAAAACATAGTAATAACATACTTTTGGTAATACACCAAGGTAGAATAATATAAGAAAGAAGTAAAGAAAAATTACGTGCCTCATCCTCGATCAGTATTCAAATGCATCACGCAAAAGTATACTATTTCGGCACTATGTACCTCAACTTTGGCATTCGAATGCAAAGTACAAGGCCAAAATGCAGATTGCCAACATGCCTCACATCCTTGCAATCAAAAACTGACTGATCGTCAGAAAATATGGTATTTTTTTCACAAATTGGTTTTCGATACAGCAGGTTATATATTTTTGTACTAATTTATTAGTCTACTCGATCAATGCATAATTTGATTATGAAATAGATTGTGAAATAATACATTTTATGAAGAATTCCATCATAATACATTGACAAGCGAGGATACTTTGCATCCAGTCTCACAAACAGCACTTTGTGTCTAGTGACGATACAAACGTAAAACACTCCCCATTTGGTTGTAGCCTAATATATGATTGTTCGCATGTGGCCTGGTGACGAAAACTTGTCATAAGCAGGTAACAGTCTAACGCAAGTAGGTCGCAACATATCATCTGATAGTTAACATTTATTATTATTGATTAATTGGATGGTAAAGAACAGTCGACTGTTATTTTGATGTTAAAGGCAAGAGGTGGTCTCTGTAAAATGTAAATTACTAATTGATATTTTCTTATAAAAGAGTTCGAATCCTCTTGGTTCTGAATTTTCCAATATACATCCATAACCAATTTTAATTAAATTAATCGTTCATATAATAATATTCGCACTATATAATTATTTTATTCCTCAATGGTTAGTTCATTAACAAGTTTTACTTTTTGTTCTCCAAATAAATAAAATTTATTATTAACCCTTAACAAAAAAAGAATTTCAAGAAAAAAAAACTGCGAATGATTATCACTTCTAAACAAAAAAGGATAACGAGGCGTAGTACCGATCCCAACTAATTTCTTACACCAATAATAAACCTACCATAGAATTGACATCATTTAGAAGAGCACAATGTAATCAGACTGGGGATGAAAGCCTTTCCCCTTGCAATACGTCAATATTTTGATTAATTAAAATAAATAAAATTCAAAACATATTTGCCAATGCAAACCAATCAGACGGTGGATGGACATTCTTTACATATTTTACGATGGTTTGTTTTTCCAGGTAGGATATACTTTTCTATTGTTTTAGCAATAATAAATAAATAAAAATTCGGTAAAGAATATTTAAAATAAATAAAAAATATCAAACTGTAGACACAGCTCAGGGCATCATCAATTGGTTTGACTTGAATTGTATCTACAGCAGTCTTTTCAATACCCTTGGCGTCGGAGCCTTTCTAGATGAAAATATTCTGTAATTCTTCGAGGTAATGATAGAATCAATGTCTATCTTTTTTTTTCGTCTTGAATAAGAAATTAAGCAAAAAAAAAATATGAAACGCTTGCTTAGCTGCATAAATTTTTATAAAAGTTTAATTTCCAAAAATGGAAATGTCACGTTATTGTCGAGCGAACATTCACCTATTTATATATAATATATATATATATATATATATATATATATATATATGATATGACGAATCTCTCTAATTAGGTTTGAATGAAGACTGTTGAAACTCCGAGAAATTAAAAATTCTATTATTGAGAGTATATTAGTGTAATTTAAGGGTTCTGGGCACAATCGCCTATTCAAAGGAAAGAAAGAAAAATTTTTTAAAAAAAAAATAAAAATCAATATTTTGTAAATTTGAAAAGCCAATTTTAAACCCTGCAGTTGAAGTTGAAGTTGCAGTTGAATGATGATTTCCTATATTCTCTTTCTTTTCCAAATTACAACAAGGATGAACGAGTGCAGTTATAATTGTTGTTGTTGTAGGTGGACGTTATTAAAGATGATGAAACGTCAATCAGATGTTGGTTTAGCCGTGCCTATATATTTAGCTACAGGATTTTGGACTTTGATGGTGTAGTATATGAATATTTGTTTTAGAGAAGTACTATATGGTTACAGATTTGATTTTATTGTTCAATCCAAGCATTATTTTCATCATAATATTTTCCTCATCTAGCTCATTGTTTAAAATTTGCCACAAGTATAAGAAATGAAAGATCGACACCACATTGTGTGATTTTAGAGAAGCCTCCAGTAAGTAGTTGTTGTTGTTGCTGTTTTTGTTTTGAATTTTGGCATGGAATTACCAGTAACAATAGTTATGAGGAAGAAGTGTATATATTGTGATTAGCATGATTAGCATCTATTTGCATTACTGCATTAAGATACAAAGTATGCCATGTGCACATATATATACAAACAAAAAAATCTAAATTATGATTTAACCAATTAGATAATTTGCTTAGCCACTAGAATGGACTGTAGTCCTCCCTATAAATTAAAAAAAAAAACTTTTTTTTTATATTTACATATTTATTTTTCATCTTTTTTTTCTTACAGAATATTATCATTTGTGAGAGATTTTTTATTTCACAAGTTTTATTAAGATTAATTTAGATTGAACAAAAAAATGGGTATGTAATTATAACAACTATAACAATCTTGATCGCCTTCATTTCACCAACTTTTTTTAAAAAAAAATTTTTTTTGACTTGTAATGATATTGATATTTTTTTTTCTAAAAAAACTTACTCAAGGTTCTAAAAAGAAAGGCACTAAAATGTCCTTAACGGATTTCTTGGCTGATCAATGTATGCCAAAATAATTTATTATTAATTTACTATTATGGTTTTCCATGCAAGATTTATACTCATGTATGTATTACCTTTCTCTTTGATTAAATATAGCAACAGGATCTTGGGCTGATGAAATGGAAGATTTGCCATCTGCTCGTGAGTTTCTCATATACTACGTGTGTTGATTTATTTTACAATATGTTCTCGCACATCTAAACAAAATTAGTATTTGCTTTATCTAGCTGCTGCTGCTTTTAAAGGTATTCGTTCGCCACATGCACGCACACACGCATGTATATTTGTGTGCTGTTTTTAGTAGATATATGTGTGGATGAGTATATGTTTAAATTTCAATTGGTTCATTTATTTGTTAGATTCTGGAGATCATGATGAATCTCATCGTCGAGGTGGTTTCGGTGATAGGAACAGAAATTATCAAAATCATAGAGGTTCAAGAGGTATAGAATCATATTAATTTATTTTGTATATATATATAATCATTTATGTATATAATCGTTACATACATACATACATATGTATGCTTATTTATCTAACATTTTTATTGTAATTTTCCCTCTTCTTTTTATCGATTAAAATTAAATTTATAAAAGATTCACGATATGACTCACCGCGTGAACCCCGATTTCCAGGTCGTTCTGATCGACCTCCTCAACCTCTTCCTACATCTCCTCCATATACCGCTCACCTTGGAAATTTACCTTATGATTTAACTGAAACCGATGTATCAAAATTTTTCGTTGACACTAATGTAATGATATTATATTTATTCGTGTATAAATGTGTATATTTTGGTGCATTGATTTATATTCATAACAATTATTTTTGATTTTCAACAAAAAAATTTTTTAAATAATTAAAGATAGCTACCATTCGAATCCTTCGTGATAAAGATGAAAAACCCAAAGGTTTTGGTTATGTGGAATTTAAAGATTTAGAGTCTTTAAGTAAAGCTTTGGATATGACTGGAGAGGTATGTTGCTAATACATATATGTACATGCATACATCTTACATACACACATATATCAATATATAGTTATGAATATCTTATCGTAAAATCATCATTTATTATTATTATTATTATTATTATTATTATTATTATTATATTATTACAATTATCTTTTTTACGATATAATTAATCATGTGTATATATATATCTAGAATCTTAGCAATCGACCTATTAGAGTTAGTGTAGCAGAACGTAAGTAATCATAATAATGATGACAATGATAACAATCAAGATACATTTATTATTAACATATTTGTAACGTAGTAGTAATTGCATATTATATAACATGATTTATTAATTAAATTTATTAACGAAATCATTAGCTCGTGAAGATCGTACGGCTGGCGAATGGCGACGATCATCTCCAAGAGAAACGCCATCGTCATCTCCAAGAAACGAAAGATTTAATTCCGCCGATAGATATGGTTATAAAGAAGATAATAGATGGAGCAATGATCGTGGAGGATTCCGTGATAGGGGTAATACTCATTATGGACATCGTGGTGGAAGTGGTGGTGATAGAGGTGGTGATAGAGGCGATAGAGGTGGTGATAGAGGCGATAGAGGAAGTGATAGAGGCGATAGAGGAAGTGATAGAGGCGATAGAGGAAGTGATAGAGGTGATAGAAACAGTGATAGAGGCGATAGAGGAGATCGTGGAGGTTTCGGAAGTGTTGGTGGTGGTGACAGACCGGAACGTAAGCCTGATACAGAATGGAAAGGTGGTGCTTTTAGTGGTGGCAGTAATAGTAATATCAGGTCGGGTGGCTATCGTGATAGAAGATCGGAGGGTGGTCATAGAGATCCTCATATGAAAAGAAATGATACAAGGTCACCAAATTATAATCGACGTGAAAGTTCTGATTCTTCAATTCACCATATACGTTCTCCTACTACTCCAATAACCCCTACTACTCCCTCTGCCATTATTTCACCCCACAAAACACCTACTCAAAATAATCATAATGATAATGATGATGATCACCATAAAAGCGATCATTCTACCACTCCAAATCCACCTCTAGTACGCAAAAAATTGGAATTGAAACCAAGAAGTACAACAACAGTATCGTCAACAACAACAACAACAGCAACATCACCATCGACACAGTATATTACTACTTCGCCAACAATGTCCGATCCAAAATCTCCAAATTTATCATCAAGCCCTCCAACTACCAGACCAAAATCAAATCCATTTGGTGAAGCCAAACCAATAGATACCGTTGAAGCACTTCGAAAAGTTGAGGAGCGTAGAAAACTAAGAGAACAAGAGGAAAAAGAAAAGGCAGCACTAGAGGCGGCAATTTTGAAAGAGAAGGAAAATGAGAACGAGAATGAAAAATCAGCACCAGGGACGGAGACAGAGACAACGGCAGGATCAACAGAAACATTACCAACTTCTTCAGTCACAAAACCAATTAAATCAACTGAATCATCGGGAACTGCTATTACATCTAAAGTAACAAAAGAGAACGGAGATGCTTAATAAAATAGGCATACATACACATCTACATACAAAGCATTTATTTATATCATTTATTTATAAAAACAAACAAAATAAATAAATTTTTTTTAGGAGTTTATTAGTCAAATAAAAAAAATTTTATAAATTTTTTTTGAATTTGGATATTATATTCAACTTTATTATATAATTATTATTATTATAATATTATTTTTATATACCATCATTATATATTATTATTATCACAATAATTAATTATTCTTAATTTACATACATTATAAAAATTATCATTAATATTTAAAATACTTGAATATCTTTTGATTTTTCTATAAATTCGTATTTTATATATATTTTTTACCTTTTAACCATTATTACTACTATTTTATTATTAACAATAATTTCATTAAACATATTAACACTTTATTATTTTGATTTTTTATATCTTTTTTCCCCATATTAATTAAAAAGAGTGCATATAAATTTTTTTTTTGTAGTTATATAGAATAATTAAATAGTAATATAAAAAAAAAACTTACAAATAAAAATTAATATGATAATTGCAAACTACAACATGTAAAATTTCGACAAAAAATAAGACATTCATTTTTTATTCATTCGTCAATTTCTTCTTTAATATCCGATTTTATTTCTTGCATTTCTTTACAGATGAAAATTTTACAAAAAAACCCCTTTAATGTTGTCACATTTACTCTTGGTTTCAGAGGTTGTTTTGCTCGATACAGGTGAAAATGTAAAGAAAAACATCAAAGTGGAAAAAGCGGACATGAAGTTGGCAGATATTCCAATATGTCATCGACCCGAAAAAGGTAAATCCGGTCCAGCTTTGAAGATAAATCTCGTAGTGGATGATGGTATATTGTAGTTAGCCGTTATTACTTGGAGATCTCATTGTATTCGTCCAGTAGGGTATTGGATTACTTCAATCTAATTACAATTTTCTCCTTTTCGTTGGCTAATTTTCTTTATTAAATCATGCACGCGACCCAAGAATATTCGTAGTTTACATCAGCAAAAATAATTTGGACTGCTCCACCAATTGCAAGTCATCAAGTTCCTTATTCACGTATTTGTTAAATTTATATATCAAATCAGATTTGATGGAACCCACTACTTTTACGCGAGAAAAAAGGAGAGGTTTTTCAAAAAAAAAAAAAAAAAAATCAATTAGAATGTTCGGTCGATTAACTTCTGCAATAAGGAGATTGCTTTTTGCGATCAATATTTTTTATATATTCTCAGACATCACGCGCTGATTAGTTCAATGTTGCATCACCTTCTAAAGCTTAAGATTTGAACTTTCATGTATATCATGCAACATCATACAACTTTGTTATTATTTTATGTACCCTTTTTCCATTAAAATTTTTATAGGGCAAGCTGAATCGGACCAGACCAGTCATTTCGGGCTGCAGACCTATATTATGGAAAGATGGAACCGGTCCAAGGACGAGCTGTTGGCTCACTGGACCTTTAGGTCAATTAACATCCCTGATCCTACTAAATCGACAACACTAGAACATCAATTGCAGCTTCATTCAATGATAAAACAATAAGAATTAGTTGTGTGATGTTATTTAATAGCAGATACTCATCAAAAGCTTCGAGTACTGTTGTAACGACAACTGCTGATTTAGCGATACAACAACAATAGCTGCTGCATATCTCGACAAGTCGCTTCCTTTCTGTGACAATAAAACAGTCAAGTACCGACTATTGAACGTGGTAATTAAAATGACAGTAATTGATGGTTATCTACAAAATGCTTGAAGTTTGTTTTTTGAGAAAGATCTTTTCAAATATTAATTCGCTTTTCTCATTATTGCATGTGTGTGTTTTTTTTTTATTCTTATTGAATCGAATTACCCTGTATGTTAATAAAATCTTACTTTGAATTAAAGCTGACTTTTGTATGTACTCGAATGGAGCACATTCTTTAATTGGAAGCGTGTTGTTCAATATTAGACGTGTTTCTAAACGTTCCTTTAATTCTTATACGATAAAATAATGATAAACACAAAGTTATGCATACCTTTTAAATAATACTATGTAATAAATGTTCTCAAAATTAGCAGAAAGTTCAGCAAAAACAAAGATCATTTTTATTCGGGAATCCCAAATATGAATCCCACTTCTCAGATAAACTTCCGACTGACCACCTTTAATAAACCAAATTATTCGATGACAACACGCACGTGTAAAAACGCGTTTAGCGGTTAATGCTATAATGGTATCTCTTAGTGTGGTGATACAAGTATACTTTTAGTTCCAGTTCATCACGAGATTTATTATATGTTGTATAAGATTTAAATATTGCTTTCCTTCGTTAATTGTATTGTTATTACTTTATGCATCTGATTGAATTGTTTGTCATTGAGCTGGATTATTATTTCTAAATAATTTATTATTATTGTGTAATTTTTTAACAACTGTTCATTTTCAATATTCGGAAAAGAAAACATTCGAAAGATTCACGTAATAGTAACTCGATGGATCTTACTAACGTTACCACTATTTTAAATAATCGCATTAATAAACCCAACAAAGTCTACAGAGAAGAAGAGGTCAAATAAAATTTTCGAATTTATAACTTTAAAGGAAACCAATTTTTATTTCTATTGTGATAATTAGATATTTTAGCATATCTGGTAAAGATATTAGTATATAGTAAATTGACCTATGCATTTGATCATTGGCTTAAAGTTCCAAAAGATCAATTAGCAAATAACCTTTTTGTATGAGTTTATATCAACAAGTTTTTCTTGCGCATATTTTGATAGAATTGAAAATGTAGATGACTCTAATTTGTGATGAGAAGTACCAACACATACACAATACATATTATCAAAATTCTAGCTGCACATTTATTTTTTGCATTAAGTGAACTTTCAATATCATCCAAATGGTTCTCATACTTTTAAAGGTATTGATTGAGAAATTTAATTTAATACTGATTATTGAAATTTATGTTATTATAATAATAAAATATATATTCATCTAGTGTTTTCATGTGTATATATTTTATTTATTAAGAGGAATTATTAGATTTACATCATGGTCGAGGAATTGAAGAGATACTTTAACATGCTTAAAGAAGAAAAATTCATTGGAATAGTTCCAATCATAATCCAGACAATCTACTCTTGTTCTTCCATAGAGTTTTTTAATCATGCCAAAATTACCATCACATTTAAATTTGGTATGTCCAAGAATCATGAAATTCAATTCAATACTTTCATAATAACCACAAATTACTAAATACAAGTAAAACCAAATAGTAATATTGTTTTTATTCTATCCTCCAGCATTATCACAAGTAATCTTTAAATGCTTTTCACCTTTATTCAATTTCTTAATTTCATCAAAGATCATACTAAGAGTTCCATTAGGACCTTTTCCTATAATTCATCTTCATTAATAACATAATTAATTTGCTCCCTCACTGCCTCATCTTGAATACCAAATAAATGAATTTTACATCGACTAAGATAATAAATTTTACTCATCTGTTGATCTGAATGTGGTGCATGAACTCAATCATAACTATAATGAGCAGTAACATCAATACTGCAATATTGTGTTTTACCCTTTTAACAAGTTTTCTTTGTTCTTATGCTAATTTGGTGTTTTTATTATAATAATTTCTTTCTACTTTGGCGTTGGACAGATGTTCTTTAAATCCTTTAAGCAAATCTTTAGTTTCTTCCTCTTGGCAAGCATTGTAATGTAAGCCATCTCTAAAATGTTGACAAGTATCACACAAATCAGTCCTTGGAGTCATAATTTGAATTTCTGGTGTCAGTTGATGTCATAATTTTCTAAAAGCATCAGATTTCAACTTGCTATCTTCTTCTAGACCGGCCATAAAATCTCTGTGGACTGATTTATAGCTCATTTCAGCTGGTAAAAATACAATTGATTGAGTTATTCTGTTGTTATTTCTTCCTGGACTTCATCAGGAAATTTTTCTGACACAGATTTACGTAATTATTACACTATTTACGTAAGTTTACGGCGGGCCTGTAATATTATGCAAATAAGCATACAAAAATTATGCAATTATTACATCGAGTGTAAATATTACATAATTTTTATGCAAATATTACAACTTTACATATTAAAATTTACAGATGTAATATTGCGGCGGGGAAAATTTCCTGATGTTGGCAATCCATGGACTTCTGTATAAATTCCTAGAAAATTCTTTACTACTTCTGCAATATTTTTATCAATCACCATTTTAATTTTTCATTGAGGCATTCTTTTGATATTACTATGAATTCTTGGTAAAAGACCATTATTTATTTATTAGATGATTTCTAATATTTTTAAAATAAGTTCTGCCAATCCCTAACATATTTGAGGCAGGTTTCTTGACAAAGGGGTGTATTGTGATCCCATTGATAGAAAGTTCTTTTATCAGACCTAATTTTCTTTTTAAGGCATCTGCTAGTGTTTGTTAATCCAACATCCATTGCTTTAGGTTGAGCTATTAAAAATATATCTTGTTCTGGTTTAGAAAGAGCTTGAAAAGATTCCCTTAATTCTGCAAAATTCTTCCTTGGGAATTCTCAAAGAACATCCATAACCACAACGTTTTTTCAAAAAATCCATGGCCTTTTGATATTCATTATAACCATGATATTTATTATCACTTTTCATATATATTTATCTCTATATATACAACTTTATGTTCGCTTTGTAGGTATTTATTTATTTTAAAATTGAAGAAATTCTAAAATTGGTCCTGTGGTGATGAGCAAAGGAATTAAATTTGAGCAGAGCTGCAAATAAATATCAGAAACATTTTCAAATATATATTCAATAATTGATATAAAAAAGAAAATAAACATCCTCAATGGTTCCATGAAAAATAATTATATTAGATTTAAGTTATTTATTATTACTAAAAATGGGATAAGATAAATTATCTTGAGACCTGAGATTTATTAATCAACTGAAACAGATAAACAAATAAATAATGATCATTTTATTTGTAGAGAATTATTGACATTTTTAAAAGATCAAAAAAAAAACTATTTGATTTACAAATAACAATATAGTGCAAGTCACTTAGTCCTATAACTTTTTATTGGTTGTGTAAATTTTCAAATTCTCCAAAAATGGAAATGCAACACCCCAAAATAAATCATCTACAAAATCACAATTTCATCTCATTGATATGTCATGCATGTTGTTGTGTGAGGATTTGAGCTTCAAAGTTGCACTAGTTTACCGAATTTGCTATGTTTAGCCCTAAAATAACAAAAATGTTGAAACAAAATAAAAATTTGAAAAATTTTCCCTTATATTGCAGATCTTTTGTCACATTAATTTTCCAGATGAACAGGAAGAGAATTATCTTTATTATTAAAAAAAAATACAAGGAACAGCTAAGTTCATTTATTTTAAATTTAATAAAAATAATATTGTATTTATCAAAAAAATGTGCAAAAAATATATTGCTATTTCCCACCTAGCACCAAAAATATATTTCATGGAAGTACATTTTATTTCTATTGCTAATACTTACTTCGATCAAACCCACTTATATAATTATTGAATAATTGATAAACATTCATTTTGCAAACTTCATAGATCTTGACTAACACTTACTTCAATCAAACCTGCTTATATAATTATTTGAATAATTAACGTTGATAAATATATTTTACAAACAGCTTCATAGATCTCGACTACTTTGACACTTACTTTGATCAAACCCACCTATATAATTATTGAATAATTGATAAATATTTGTTTTGAAAACTTCATAGATCTCGACTAACACTCGCTTCGATCAAACCCGCCTATATAATTATTTGAATAATTGATAATAATAAAATGTTGATAAATATATTTTACAAACAACTTCATAGATCTCGACTACTTTAACAATTACTTCGATTAAACCCACCTATATAATTATTGAGTAATTGATAATAATAAAACATTCGTTAAATATATTTTACAAACAGCTTTGTAGATCTTGAATTTAACACTTACTCCGATCAAACTCACCTATAATAATAGATGTTCATTTTGGAAACCTGATTTGCAAGTAGATCTTAACTTTAACACTTGCTTTGATCAAGCCTGCCTATATAATTATTAGAATAATTGATAAAACACTCATTAAACATATTTTACAAACAGCTTCATAGATCTTGACTTTAGCACTTACTTTAATACAAGCTACTCAATAATTGATGAGACATTCATTTGCAAAACTTAATAATTGATAAACGTTCATCAGCATATTTTATGAATTTGCTTTGGAAGTTTCATATGTTGTAATACATCTTGTATTTAACAGTCTATTTGTTGAATTTTTTTTTTAGATTACACAATAAAAATTATGGAATAAATTTATCCAATGAAATATTGTAAACTGGTTGGTATCCCATATTTTGCACAACTTGAAAAAAGTTGGTATATAAGTCATAGAATTATTATGATAGTATCGACCAGGGAAAAGTCATGCAATGATGAAGTACCAGATAAGGTCCCCTGTGTCTGGCTTCCTTAGGTGTAATGCCTCACTTTGGACTGGCTGTAAAGTCCCACATGGCGGAAGGTGGAACTCATGTGGGTGGCTCATGTTGGGTGTATTGACCCTTCTGTTTTTGTTAAATTTTATTCTTTATTTTATTT